AAAAAAAAAAAAAGAAAGATTGCCATACAGGAAAGAATAACTCATCCCCGGAATATAAGCCCTCCTGCGTCCTCTGGAGCACATTAATGCGAGACTCAGTCTTATGTTCAGGGAAATACAGTGTCCAGGCACTCGAAGCTCGTCTTTGAATGAGCAGTGCAGACGGTCGTCATCCGGAAACGGTGACAGAAAACTGGTCACTAGAGTGGAGGCAAAGCCCAGAAGCTGGAACGGCTCAGCAGAGCAAGCAGTCAGCCAGGACCCAGAGACAGGCCAAGGCCTCAAGAATCTTCCGAGGTGCGGGCAGCACTGGCGAGGGCAGCGCCGCAGGGGGGACGCGTGGACCCATGACCCAGGTGGATGCAGCCGTGCATCGCCTGGGGTCCTCCAGCGACGCTCCCGCGGGCCGCAGCCGCCCCAGCTCCCCCTAGTACCCTCACCACCGACCTCGGGGCTTCCAGGCCCACCACGCCCGGTGTCTCCGCTCAGCCCTCTCCGCTCAGCCCCGACCGCTCGCAAATCTGAGGCCCCCTGGAGCTTTTCGAACTCTGCTCCTCGCAGCCCAGACCCGCCGCCCGGCGCTCTCACTTCATCTCGCAAGCCAAGCATGGACGACACGGCCTTGCCTTTAGAGTAAGTGTGTAAGTGGATGCGAAGGAACCGGGTTTTTTGGTGTGTGTGGTTTCTTTTGCGCTACTAAGGATTGAACCCCAGGGCCTTGACTGTGAGCTACATCCCCGGCCTTTTCTTATTTTTTAATTTGAGTAAGGTCTCACCAAGTTACCCAGGCAGGGCTACAACCTGGGACTCTCCTGCCTCAGCCTACCAGAGTGCCGGGACCCACTTGACTACTTTTTGTGCGTAATGTCATTACACTCCAGGCAAACAAATGACGCTCAGAAAACCTGCTCCCAACTGCATGCTTCTGCATGCCTGAACTCACCACAGCCCTGAGACCCAGTCACAACCGAGGCATGGCATGGGTTTGTTTGTATTTTCCAGAATTGGGGGTCCAGGATCTCGTGACTTCTAGGCAAGTGCTCTACCACTGAGCTATATCCCCAGCCCAGAATATCAAAATATTTTAAACCCTAAACATGCAGCAGACCAGATGTTTTAGACATTGCCTTAATGCTTTTATTTTTTTATACTGGAAATCAAACTCTGGACCTTGCGCTTGCCAGGCAGGTAATTGTGCCGCTGAGCTATGTCCACGGCCCCCTTAACGCTTTTAACTTATTGTACAAATAAAGCAGGAAGGCCAGGCATGGTGGCGCACACCTGTAATCCCAACACTCGGGAGGCTGAGGTGGGAGGATCCCAAATTCAAATGCCGCCTGGGAAATGTAGTGAGGCCCTTTCTCAAAATAAAAAAAAGGAATGCGGATGTAGTTCAGCGACGACGTCTCTGGATTCAATCGGCATTACCTAATCAACTAATTAACTAATAAAAGTGTTTTGAAAAGGCTGGGAATATACCTCAATGCAAATGTCCTGGATTGAATCCCTAGTACTACAGGGAAGAAAATGAAATGAATGAATGAAAAAATGAATACATAAAGAACTTTGACTTTTGGGCCTCAAACATC